AGTATGAATCATGAACCATTTCCCCAAGAAGTGGGACAAGATAAGAAAAGAAGAATATACAAAGCATTGATATAACAAGGAGGCATTTATATCAATTCATAAGTTAAATAAATAAATTAAAAAATTCAAAACTTATTTCAAATTTATTTCCTTTAACATTTAAGATCAACCAAAATCATGTGAGGTTTTACCTTTAACGTGAGCACTATACCGACAGTGGCATGATAAAAACAATACTAGAACCTAGTCACAAGTATTTGACTCTACTTATCTAGGCAGCTTCCCATAGTACCTTACGAGTCGACTTAACCTCATTACATTTAGTAATGATAATTTGCTTACAAATTATGGGATTTTATTCTACAAACCTCGGCTTAACCTTGGAATGTGTCCCTACACCGGAACGTCTAGTTCTATGATAATGAATTTAAGATTCGAACCAATTTCGATGGTCTCCACTAATAACTCCCAAAATATTTGACTTTTCTAAAATAGATTCATAGATCAAAAGCCTCAACGGAATCTCTTTTAAACTAAATCACGGTATTCATAACTGATCCAACCATTTGAAAAAAAAATTAAATAAAAATCTTTCTCATTTCTATGTTAAAAGTAATTAACAAAATAAAAATTTATCTTTTAGTCCAACAAGTACCGCTCTAACATTTAAAGATATTTCAAAAATATAACACTTTATATTTTCAATAAAAAGTCATGTCAATGACACTTAAATATTTAAAATGCAAGAAATGGTGCAATCTCAACCTGCTTGTCCGTACAAGATAGGATCCACAATTAGAATCAAGTTCCAAACTATGTTACTATATGCATTTTTGGAGGAAAACTCGATGAAGCAGTAGGTTTCAACATACCTCAATACGCTCTCAAAACTTCACCACAAGTATCTAAGGTCTTAAGCCAACCATAATCTACACAATTATATCTCACATGAGTCAAGAATTGCTCAACAATACCCAACAAGAGCCATTTAGACCTTAGCTCTTAAATATAGGCACTTAGGGTTCATCTTTCCTATCATATGTTTTCTTCCATTCTTAACAATCTCATTTATAATACTTAATAATCTATTGGGGGTTACAAACAACTAAACAACCTTTATGACCATTCCACCAAGGTCTTTTTAAAAAAAACAAAAAACTACTTGAGGATCGTTTGGTTTAGAAGTAAATTACATTGAGATTAGTGATGCACGAATTTTTTATGGTGATGATTAATAATAACAGTATTACGAAGGGGTTGCTATGCGAAGGTTAATAATGAAATTGTTATGCGGTGACCAATGATGAAGATGTTGTTGTGCAGTCAGACCTATTTATAACAACATCCTTATATAACAACGGAAAATGGTTTAAAATGCCCCAAAACTATTGAAAAAGGTTTTAAAATACCCTTCATCCACCTATTGGGCTAAAAATACCCCTCCATCCACTTTTTTGGTTCATTTATGCCCTTTGACCGTTAGGTCAATGCTAAATTAAAAATAATTATTATTCTTTTTGTAAAGCCTAAAAAAAATATTTTGCAAAATATTTTCGTTTTTTTAAACTAATGCACCAAGAGTCCACTAATTTAGTAAAATCTTCTTTCTTTTTTTCAGTTTTTACGAAAAAAATATATATTTTTTCTTTTTAAAGAACTTTTTTTTTGTAAAAGCTGGGAAAAAATTGTAAAAACAGAAAAGAAAATTTAATAAAATATTTTCGTTTTTAAAAACTGAAAAAAATATTTTAATTTTTGAAAAATATTTTTTTTTTCAGTTTTTTTAAAACATTTCGTTGTATTTTCGTTTTTCAGTTTTTTTAAAAGAAAAAATATTTTCGTTTTTTTTAAAAAACTGAGAAAAGAAATATTTTTCAAAAACGAAAGTATTTTGTTGAAAATATTTCTTTCAGTTTTTAAAAAAGGAAAATATTTTATTAAAAACATTTTTTTTCTGTTTTTACAATTTTTTCAGTTTTTAGAAAAAAAATGCTTTAAAAAAACTGAATAAAATGAAAAAAAAAGTTTTTTTGTAAAAATTGAATTGTTTTTTTGTAAAAACTGGAAAAAAAAAAGAAGAAGATGAAGACTTTACTAAATTAGTGGACTACTGGTGCATTAGTTTAAAAAAACGAAAATATTTTGCGAAATATTTTTTTTAAGCTTTACAAAAAGAATAATAATTATTTTTGATTCAGCATTGACCTACCGGTCAAAGGGCATAAGTGAACCAAAAAGGTGGACAGAGGGATATTTTTAGCCCAATAGGTGGATGAAGGGTATTTTTAAACCTTTTTCAATAGTTTAGGGGCATTTTTAACCCTTTTCCGGTATAACAATCATTCACTATAAAAGCAAAGTTTTCCTTGGAACTAATTCCTTAAGTTATATTTTACCTCTTTTATAATAGTTTTTCCCTATAACAACAACCATATTAATAGCAGAACGCTCTTTGTAAAATTACCCTTCTATAATAGCCATATAAAATCTCTAAGGTAACTCGAAATAATTCTAAAAATGTGCGCATAATCTTTTCCATTGAAAAGTTTTTATCTTGCATAATACACAAATTTGAAGATTTGCATATGATATCATTTTCATTGGACAAATGTCGAAAAATATTTAGTTTGAAGATTCAACTATCAAGCTCTTACATTGCCTTCAAGGGAAAGCTATCATATACCCTTTTGTGAAAGTTTGGACACAAATCTTCGCCAATTTTAGCATTATACCTCTAGCAAAATAGAATCTACGGAACAAGTTACAACTACAAAGTTCTTCTCTCAATCTTGTGTCACGACCCAAACCCCGGTCGTGATGGCGCCCAACACATTGCTAGGCAAGCCCGACCATTTACGCAACCTTAGCCAAATAATCTAATTAAATAAATAAATGTTCACTACTATAATACCAATTTAGTGCGGAAATTCTGATATAATCTCTAACATTCGAAAACCCCAAAATAAAATACTAAATAGCCCACAGAATCTGGTGTCACGAACATGAGCCTCTAGAAGCAGATTATTCACCTATTACAAGTCCGACTAGGAAAATAATACGAATAAAATAATAAAAGATAGAAGGGAGAGATCAAGGCTGCGAACGCCATGCAGCTACCTCGACACTCCCAGATAACTGCTACTCAACTAACAAGCCCTCACTCACCCTTTGGTGTACCTGAATCTGCACACAAGGTGCAGGGAGTATTGTGAGTACTTCCAACTCAGAAAGTAATAAATATAAATAAGGTCTGAGGATAAGAAATCCTAAATAAACACAAAGTAAAGCTAAAAATACCATTAAACAGCAATACAGTTAGAATGAACATCAGAACAGATGAAGAAATAAATGACAATTAAATATGCAATGCAACACATAAACCGGTACCTCCAGTACCCGCTGCGGCCGTGCAGCCCGCTCCATTTTTTTAACATCGACGGCGCTCACTGGGGGTGTGCAGACTCCGGGAGGGGCCCCTTACGGCCCAAGCACAATAATAAGCCATCTCGTGGCATCAAACAGGCCCTTGGCCTCATATCAATATCATTATAATACTGCTGCGGCGTGCAACCCGATCCCATACTCAGTCCAAAAATCACACAATAGTATAAAAATATTCAACCCAAACTTCATTTAAAAATATTAACTTAATTTCTAATTTAAGAAAATGGCTGAGATTTCAAACACAGTATTAAATACCAGGACTGAGTTTAATATTTATAGATATGGTAAGAAACCATTAAAATAATCCCTGAAGGATTCAAGTAGTTGGCACGAAGCCCAATTATGACAATTAATCCATTTTTATAAGGATATTACAAATCTACAATCAAATAGGTATCAATTTTATTAAGCGGGACGGACCAAGTCGCAATCCCTGACGGTGCTCTACCCCACGCCCGTTATCCGGCGTGCAAGTCACCTCACATAGCACTTCGTTATGCAAATTCGGGGTTTCAAACCCTCAACACAGCATTTACATTTATTACTAACCTCAAGCCGACCAAGGTCCTAGCTTGCTATGCCCTTGCCTTTCGAATTCACCTCTTCGCGCGTCGAATCTGACCAAAACCACAATGAATACGTCACAATATGCTAAGGGAATGTAACCCAATCGAAAAGACTCGAAAAACATCGAAAATCACGAAGTTGGCAAAACCCGAGCCCCGCGCCCACGTCTCGAAAAATCAGAAAATTAACATCACCGGATTCCTCATCTCGACACGAGTCTATACATCCCAAAATCTCTCAAATCGGACCACGAATGGCCCCTCAAATCTCAAATTTAGAATTTCAAACTCAAGCCTAATTTCTTACAATTTGGCTATATTCTCATGAATTTCAAGGATGATTCTACAATAAAATCATGTTTTTAACTCATAAAACTTACCTTCAATCGACCCCAGTTGAAACTCTCTTCAATCCCCGTCCAAAAGCTCTCAACAATGCCCAAAAATGGAGGAAAAGTGGGTTGGGTTCGCGGATGAAATGTTTTAAAACATTCTGCCCAGGTCTGATAATGAAACATGAAGAAGCATAACATGGGGGAAACGAGGCGGTAACTCACGTGACGACGGGTCGGGTCGTCACATCTTGAAGGAATTTATTTTTCTAGTAGCTTTAAAATATGTGATTTAGAGTTTAACTTTTTTATGTTTTTGAATTTGTTAATAATATATTAGCTTTATTTAATTAGTAAAATATGTATATCTTTTGAGATTTTAAATTTGAATAATTCTTTTATCTTTTATATGCAACGTTAAAAAAGGAAATTTTTTTGATAATTTTTTTCTATAACAGCTGAAAAATATTTAAATGTCAAATGCTGTTATAGGTGTTTAAGAGCCATTCACTGTAACAATCAAAAAATATCGAATAAATAATGTTTTTATAACAAATAATATATTTATACTTATAACTTTAAAAATATAATTGAGTTCTATAAAGTTTAAATTCTATATAGGTCTCTTGTCTTGGTAGGATTAATTACCCAAGCCAAACGACCCTTTGGAAATAGGTCCCCTTATTATTTTTTTCCTTTTTGTTTTCTGGGAGGAAATAGGTCATTCACCTTCTCGTCTCGAAAATGACGAGCAGCAGCTGCAGATTTCTCTTCAAAAATGGCTTTATTCCAAATTTGGCAGAAACCCCATCAGTAACAACCGTACTTGAAGCCCACCAAGGTATTTTACCTGCTTTTCATCTTCCTCCTTTTGAATTCTTGTGTTGTAAAACAAAAAAAAAGTTCTCCACATAGGAATCTTTGTTTTAGAACTACCTCAACCAATAAATGATAAAAAAAAAAACAAAAAAGAAACTGAAAGGTACAATTTTTTTCCATTTCAGGTGCATATACAACAACTAGGACTCATAATGGTGGCTCACAGCTATTGTTTTGGGAAAGGCATATGAGCAGACTCTCCAACTCTCTAAGAATTCTTTTAAATTCAAATCCAGAACTTTTATTCAGTTCAGAAAGATGTAGACTCCCTTTTTCCTTAGTATCAACAAAACCAACTATGTGGGATTCATTGGTTCAATCTCTTGTGAATGATTCTATGAGAAAAGCTCTGCCTTTTGTATTGAAAGAAAGAAGAAGTGGGGAGGAATTGGCCATTACTTGTCTTGTCAGTGGAAATGTTGATAGTTTGGAGGAATTTGAGGGTTTAGATGAGGAAAAGATTTCTACAGCTTTTGATGTATATATCCATGTTGATCCCTATGTTCCTCCACTCTTTGGTAACCATGAAAATGCAGCACGTTTGGCAGTTGTTGGTCATGGTAGGCGTGCAGCAAATGCCAAATACTCAGACTGGGTTAGGTAATTATGCGCAAACAACTGGTTGCGGTCCTTTTAATTTTAACAGTGATGTATACTCATGGAATTTCTTCAACATAGTAATGAATGGTGATTTAGCTTGTGTATCTGATTTGGTTATAGGGAATAGGTGAAATTTGTGGACACAGTCTTTCTGTGGTGATAGGAATTTGTTGTTTTTGTTATAGGTAGGCAAAGGAAGCAATTGGAGAAGCTGAGGCCACCTTCTGTCAATGAGCTCCTGTTGTCAAACAACGGTGATCGGATCTTAGAGGGTTGTTTGACAAATCTTTTCGTCGTTTGTCGCAAGGTGATATGTCATTACAGCACTGTTAACCACCCTATGTTTTTGAAGTTTTGTGTTGCACTAAAACGAGTAGGACTTTTTCTTATAATCCATATAGTTGGCTGGATTTCAGATGGCCAAACATTTTTGTTTAGTTGATTTGTTAGTAACAACTGGTTCCGAGATCTTATTTGATCCTGTTGTAGGAGTACTGATTTTATTAGTCCATTGATGGGTTTTCAGGAAGTTAAATTTCAGCGAATTGAGATGATGCATGAGTTTTTATTGCTTAAGAAAGGGAAAGGAATAGAATACAAAGCTGTAGTTGTGTTCACTAGAGATCTCATTTATTGAAGAAACAGTTGATTTCTGTAGGACAGCCATCATTTCTATAGGTGGGGACTTGTGAATTTTGAATTTTACACTGTGTTTGGAGTCCTCACTGTTGTAGTTAAGCAATCTGACATTGTCGCATATACATAAATAATTCATCAGTGAATTTAGTGATCAGATTGGAATCTTTGTATGAGAAGAAAAGATCTTGAGTGCTGGGATTTTCTTCTAGTAGTACAGGATCAACATGATAGATTTTATTAATCAATTACAGGAAGGTTATTGGCTGTATTTGGTTGTATAGACAACACCAGCTTATTGCTTGTCCTCTAGCGATTAATGAAACTTGTTCCAATAAGGTAACAATTAATAAAATTTACGCCTTAGTGATAAAAAAGTGCTAAGCTTTACGTCTGGGCACGCTGAGAATGCTAAGCTATGCGTGGAACTACTCCTGAAGTGTAAGTTTGCTGGGGCTACCAAAAAAAAGAAAAAAAGAAAAGAGATTGTTGGGGCTATGAAGGTTCGAGTAAAGCTTGAAGACAATATGGAATGCAATCCCTGTGTGCATTTGGTGGTCGATCTGGAAAGAAGGAAACAGGAGGTTCTATGGAAGATATACTAACTCCATGCTGAAGATCAACAGTAATTGTATGCCCCTTGTTGTACTTTTGGTGTAGGAAGGAATATGCACAGGAGGCTGAATCACACTCATTGATCTTATAGGTTCTTTCCACTGTCAGAAGGAAGGAACTATACTTTTTGCTTTTTGGATGTACATGATACAGCACCATCGTAGTGCTGATGTCAATAAAAATGCTCTTTTACTGTTAAAGAAAAAGAAAGTGCTAAGCTTTACTTCAAAATGGACACATTATCTATACTGAAGGCATATCAACTTCTATCTAGCAGGAATTCCAGCAATTACTAACCAAGCCATCTGAACAGAGCAATTAGTACTATTTTGCTAGGATATGGTAAATCCTCAGGGACAAAATTCCAGCTTCCCCTTTAGAAAGTGAATGCATGACGCTATTAACTTCATGTGGAAAGCCTATCTTGCTCACTTAATATGTACACGCGATGAAACTTAAAAGGTCAAATGGTATTTTGGAACTGTAATCTAGCAGTGTTGTAAATAGCGCTCGCCTCAGCGCTAATAGCGTGAGGCGATGCGATGCGAGGTGCCGGCGCTATTTGCCTCTGTTGCGTGGCGATTTCAAAAAGGCGAGCGCCTCTGCCTGTGTAGCGAGAGGCGCCGTGTAGCGAGAGGCGCCCTGTGGCATCGCTTTTTGAAAAAAAAAAAAAAGAAGGCAGCGACCATCAGTGTTAAAAATACAAATTAGGGCTTGAGTTTTTCTTCTTCTTTCTCCTTCAACCTCGTCGACCAGCGCCACAGCAAAGAAGCAACCAAGATTTCTTCTTTCTTCTTCAAGTTTCTTCGATCAGGACATCAGGTATGCTTCTCGTTTCTCCTTTCTTCTTCTTCGAATTTCTGCCTCTGTCCATTTTCTTTTCTTTCTTCTTCAGCTTCAGTCTTTCTTCCTTTTTCTTCTTCTTCTCTTCTTCTTTTTTTTTTTTGCTCTGTTGTTTGAGCGAGCAGCAGAGAGGAGAGAGCTTTTCAGAGCTCTTTCTTCCTTCCTTTTTCTTCTTCTCTTCTGTTTTTTTTTAAATCTTGAAGAAGAGTATATGTTGCTTGTTTTAGTTTATGAATCTACTATGACTATCTATTGATTTTTTAATTTTTGAATTGATATATTTATTAATATATTATTGCTATTGAGTGTGTGTGTGCATATATATACACATATATATATATATATATATATATATATATATTTTGTATAAATTGTCGCTTCACATAAAAAAGGCGAGCGCTTCGCTTCTCGCCTCTCGCCTCAGTGAAGCGGGCCCTCATCGCTATTTGTCGCCTCACGCTATTCAAAACACTGTAATCTAGTGTGTGAGGAGTTAATAACTCTTATCATTTTGCTTTAACTGTTCGTAAATGGTGTATAACTTATACAAGGTCCATCATGTTTCTTACAGAAATTACTAGAAATTTTGTTGCAGGATGTTAACGACGATTATCACAAGGCTAGCCAAAGAGACAATGAATCTACAGTATCAGTTGAATTGCAAACTGCCCCTCTAAGAGATGGTGTCCTTCCAGGAGTTCTACGCCAAGTAATTATTGAGTGCGTTCCTTTTCCGGCTGGTGGAACTTGACATATTTAGCTTTTGAACTTCTCTTTACTGTTTGGAACTTGTCTTTGCATTTTGCAGCAACTTATCTGTAGAATGTAATAAATGCTGGTCAACTTGGAAGGGGTTGTTATTATTATATCGACTTGGTTTTGCCTAATGCTCGATATGGTTGGCACAGAATTATTCTAGAGGGTTCTCTGTTGCCCTAATTTTATGTGTTATGCACATATTACGTACTACAGTGTAAAGAATTTCCTTAATGGTAGGGAGTCTGATTCAGATCTTGGACAGAGATCTCTTTTTATAATATAGGAGGCAAGGTAGTAATAACAACTCATTGGTTAGTAGTTTGTTTACTAGTCCATCTTTGCCATTTGAGAATTTCTATCTGCAAGTTGTCCTATATGTTCCCAAGGGTGTACTTTATAGAATGGTCTGACATTTGTCCTTGTGCATAATGACCATATTTGAACCACAAGGGCAATCTGAAGCTATTGAGGCTCTGTGGATTATTGGAGAATTTGACTAAAATGAGAAAAATGGAGCTTTTGAATCGAAAGGATCAAATCTTATTGTTTCTATATGATTCAAGTAGTCTCTGTCAAGAGACATGCACTAGTTACCTTGTCTGCTAGGAGCAACTTGCTCTTATAGAAAGAAGCTTTCATAATCACATGAGATCTCTCATTGTTTTTTGGGGTCAAATAATGAATATGATGATCCTGTGTTTGTGCAGCATATGCTCAAGAAACAAAATCCCTGTCAGAGAAATTGCACCTTCATGGTCAAAGCGTGAAATGTGGCTGGAAGCATTCATTACAAGTATGTGGTTCAGTCTAAGCTCAGAATTATCATTGACAGCATTATATACTCAAAGCTTGCTTTTGTTACCCTGCGACAGCTCCAAATCTATTTCTCCTTACATGATCCAGTGGAGACTGAGTTTCTAGTATACATGTCTGAGTTGTGGTCCTAATGCTTAAACCTCTTGCCTCAGTTCTCCAGCTCCACTTCATGCTTATTATGTGCAAATATATAAGGTTAGACTCAGTTTAAAATTGAAAGGTAGAGTAAAAAGTGAGCTCAATGTGCCATTATGAATTGCATATTCCTATATAGTTGAAAAGTGAAAGGTAGTGTAAAAAGTGTGCTTAATGTGCAACCGTAATTTGTATTCCTATATACAGTAAGAGGATCTATTTTTACTGTTAGAATACTTACTTGAACTATTATTGTAGATAGCTTGAGGCTATTGCAGCATGTGGAAGTTATTCAAGCTCCTAGTTCATGGGAATCGCTTGAAGCAAAAACTTGGAGGGACGTAACATGGGAGGAAAAGCTATTTGAGGTATCATAGATCCATGCACTAACACGTAAAATCACAGAAACATACATGTATGCCTACCCTCCCCCCCCCCCCCCCCCCCCCCTCAACCCACCAAAAAAAAAAAAACGGAACCACCCAAAAAAGAAAAGAAAGAGGGGAAATAAAAGAAGTTTTGAAGCTGCTTAATGAATAATTCCCTTACTGATGTTTATGTAAATTTCAGCATGCGCCTGGAAGGATCACTGCACTCATCCAGGTATTAAAAGAGATTACTTTTTTTTAACGTCTGTGCCATTTAATAGAGATTAGTGATTACCTGTTTGATTCTGTACCAATTTTAACGCTATTGTACATTTGTCCACCCTTGCATGATAATTGATTAAAATACGAGACTTGAGTATTCATCCTGCTTTCCCCAATTAGAAACACCAGTCAAAATGCATAAGTTCACATACCGAAATAGTCTTAACATACTGAAAATGGTAGACACCTATGTGAACAGAAGCCGTTATTTTGAGATCTTGACACCTATGTGAACAGAAGTCGTTATTTTGAGATCTTGCAACCTATGTGAACAGAAGTAGTTATTTTGAGATCTTCTCTTATGGTTTGCTTCCAAACGCCACATGTGGGATTGCACTGGGTTTGTAGCTCTTATGGTTTGCTTGTAGAAGAAGATGCTATTACCTGGATCATATAGGCTGTAAATATGTATCTGTGTAGAGCATCCTATCTTGTTGATTCTCCTTTCCGGTCGCCTCTAGCTCTCGTACCTGTGAAAATTGACATGACTCAATCCTCAAGAGCATGAAGCTGCCTGGCCTTTCGTTCAATATTTAAGCAGCTGGCTGCTCAAAGCCCCACCCGCTTTTCTGCATAGACCTAATTTAGAATGCTGTAACTCGACTTCGAAGTAAGAAGAAGCATTCTGGGCATGTTTGGAGGTCATAAGACCAGAACTCTCAAGGATGTCTAATAGAGCCCCCCCACAACCCAACCAACACACACACACCCACTGCAGCATTGGATCTTTTTGTTGATTTATAGTGTAGTCGTTCCTTGTATAGACTTTAATCATTGGTCTACATGCACTATGTTTGTCGCTTAAGCTTAAGTGGTGGAACAGTTATATAATTGTGAAGCCTCTTATAGTATAGTAGCTATATTGCACAATAAAACTCGTCTTTGTTTTTCTGCAGAAGGAGATCATGGAAATGGCAACTGTTGAAGGGTATCCAGTGGTTCTATTTAATGACTGATATACCTTTTGGAATGGTCCCATCTTCAAAGCACAGCTGGTTTTTCAGTGATGCAAGGTCTAGTCTTTGCTTGACTAGCTAAACTGGCATTCCTTCTAATTGTGGCGTTGATTACGCCTGCCTGTGATGATTTGATTTGAATTGAAGTCCGTTCTGCTTTTGGTATAAGATGATTGTTTTTCTGGTATTTGTATATTTGAAACATACTCCTACTACAATAAGGGAAACTAAACGTAACTCCTCAGAAATATATTGTAGTTTAAAGTTGATTTAACAACCAAAATAACCTCACTGAAAACAATGGCTATCATAAAACTGACTGTCTTGAATTAGACCATTAGATAGAATTTACGTCTAAAATGAGCACTTTTTCGTTAACAAATCAGTGAGAAACCAATAAGAATAGTTCACAATGGCACTCTTGTAATTCATATGTGCGTTGCAGCTGCGGCATATTTCATAGATACGTTATTACATCATGTTTCTTGCGATATCTAGTAAGTAATATAATGATCTAGCATTATCAATAAAACTCGGCAAATGAATGCTCTTCCTATCTACAAGCTGAAAATTAAACTCTTTGTCTTGAATAGGAAATCCTTTCAAATAGAGGAGAGAACAATAAATAAAAAATTACATGTATTTTGTGTTTATATCAAGTCAAACAATTTATGTTTATTTTTTTATAACATAAAAGTAATGAATAAACAAGAAGTGCAGGGTAAATTTTCTCTTATTTATGTGTGGAGTCGCAGTGGGTAGCTGGCGTTTAGAGACGGAATGTTTGGCATATCAAATCTTGCAGACGTGTATATTGTATTGCTGCTCAGTTTATTCCTCTCCGCCTCAAGGCTGCTTTTATTCTCTGCACCTCTGCTCTAGCAGTTCACAAAAACATGTTAAGGATCATTATTACAAAACTCATCCAATTTTTGAGAATATTTATTTATGGATACAAAACTAACTCTATGTAACAAGAGAAGATGAAAAGTATTAGTGGCCAAAGTCAGAAATTATAGTGTTTATAATTTAATATATATGCATAAAAAATACTATATGACTTATAAACGCGGTATTATTTTTCAGCACAAAGAATTCAACTTACCTGTGCCACTAAAAAAAATACCCCCTCCATCCCTTTTCAGTTGTTATATTTTTTTTGAGAGTCATTTGACTAATCTTCCAAGTTAATTAATTAGATTAACTTAATATTTTAAAATTAAAATTTTGGTATTGAAAGGCTATATTAAAAGAAACTAGGCTTTGTGTATTAAAAAAATAGGTTCTTCCCTGCTCTATGTGAACACTGTCGCAAAACACAGCTTAGAAAAGCCATCAAAAGCAACCATTTTCCGCCAAATACAAAGTTCTTTCTCTCGTACTACTGAACGAAACCAATCAATACTTTCTCTCCGATCATCCTTTTCAGGATACATAAAAGTTAGTTAGGGTTCCGGTAGAGTGAAGGATGGCGGAACCAGCGAGTCCAGGCGGCGGCGGCGGAAGCCATGAGAGTGGCGGCGAGCGGAGCCCTCAGTCGAACTTGCGAGAACAAGACAGGTACCTCCCGATCGCGAATATTGGACGCATCATGAAAAAGGCATTGCCTGCTAATGGAAAGATCGCTAAGGATTCTAAGGATACTGTTCAGGAATGCGTCTCTGAGTTCATCAGCTTCATCACCAGCGAGTAAGCTTTGGTTATTTTAGTTTTTATTTATTGCTTCGATAAATTCGTAAATAATAGAGACCTATGTAATTTATACCAGAATTTTATTTGCTGAAATGGAGGAATGAGAATTTTGTAGTAGGTTTATTCTACGAGTTTAAGTTCGCGCTGACAGTGGAAGAATACCTACACAATTAGGTTTAATTGCAAGTAACTCTATTTAATAACATGGATTGGTGATCTTTAATAGATGTTAAGTAATCTGTTATAAAGGTTAAATTAGACTGTGCGTATAACTTAAATCGTTATACTAATGGGTAAAGAATGCTATGCCAACTGAAGTTTTGTGGCATTATACGTGTAAGTTTCTAGCTTTAATGTGTATGCTTGGAGGTCATCTAATTTGGCTAGTTTCTCATTTCAAGAATTGTTTTTTGGATTTCCTTTTAGGCTCAGATGGTTCCCTTTTTCTTTTTGGTAATATCCTTGGAACTTTTTCTGTGCTATTGTATATGGAAACAGATAACTAGTTGGCATACCTTTTTAGATCGATAATCTGTTAGAGTTAGAAACTTTTGTTGTGTTTCTCTTGTTTTCCAAAATTTTGTATGCATGAGAAATATAGCTTTTTAACAAAATATTCCCCTTTGAGAAATCAATAGGATGTTTGGGTGGTGTTGTTTTGATAGCATTAACAGAGGGGAGGGGAGGTAATAGCTTACTCAAAAAATAAACTCTGGCTACGACTCTTCGACGATTTGCCAAACAGCATAAAGCTCTCTTCCCCCTCTTTGCTGGCTGCTATCTTCCTTTCTGAAATCCCTCTTCACCATTCCCTTTCCCCTGGCTATGACTAAAAGTTGAATTGTTCACGGCATTCAAGAGCTAGGGGGATCATGGACATATGATCACCTCCTGGTCCGTTAGGGGAAAAAGAATACAGGGAAAGATGTGTTGATAAGGAGTAGTAGACGAGGGAATAGTAGAGGCATCGTGTCCTTAATGGAGTAAAGTAAGCCGTCTGCTTTGTGAAAGGAAAGAACACGAAAAAGAGGACTTGACTATAATAGAGGTTGAGTAGAATGACCTGCCATTTTAATTATGCTCTCAAGAGGAACAGGAAAAAAGGGTGGACAAGAATAGTAGTACTTGCATCAATGAGCCAGCAGGGAGGTCGGAAGGCAAAAAATAGAAGGAAAAAGGTGGGCATGTCAGCATGTAGCAACCACTGTCTACGGTCAATCCCCCCAAAAAAAGGCATGCTCTCTACTACAATTCTTCCCCGCGCTTACTAAGAAAGTTAGGAACACAATTTACCGTTTCTACTTGTGACATTGGTTAGAATGTATCGTAGTTGAACCAAAAGAAGAATATCTGCTTTTGGTTTTCGGTTAGTGAGACAAAAACAAGAGCTATTGTGACTGCCAAAGGTTGTGGTGGGTGGTAAATACCTCTCCATCTTTAACTAGAGGTCTCGAGTCGAGCCCTGAGAATAGAGTAGCCTTTCGTAGGGAGCACTTTACCTCCCAAGGTGGGACTTCTCGGCCCGAATTCGGATTACTCGGGCCCCTAAGCGGGTACTAGACACTAGGTGGGAAACAAAAACAATAGCTATTGTGAAGCAAGGCTGGGTGTGGAATTTTAAAAAAAGAGAAGACTTTTGAAATTTGTGGTCTAGAACAATTCACAGATATTTTATGTGGCTATGTAAAATAGTAAGTTTAAAGTTACATTCTTTCTAAATTTAGAAAGAGGTCATTCGTTCTGAAATTGATTAAAAAAGAAATAGGTTCAGTCTTTTTGAAAGGGAGGGAGTACTTTTTAATCCTCAAAAATAGAATGTACAACAATCCAGTGCTGCACTTTTGCCAGGGATCATGCAGAGTTGCTCTGCACATTCTTATTCAGCTGATCTCGCCATCCCTAGTTTTTCCCCTGTTTGGATGTTCACACTGCTGTCCCTTTTCCAAAATAGAAATCCTCTTTCCTATTTTACCTTACTTTGACAAGGTTACCTGTCCCAATCATGTTTCTATCAAAACTATGGCACGCCTGACTTTTCACTAGTTTTAGTGCACAGGGGGGGGGGGGGGGGGGAATCAGAATTTGGAATATTGAATATTTTCTGTCAATTCCAGCATGATATGTACCTTAATCCCTAAACCCTTACATAAAAAGTATCCATGTAGCTAAAATCTTTGGCTGGTATTTTACTGTTATTTCTTTTTCTGGATCATACAAGCTGTATATTAGATGTAGATATCTTTATATAAATACATGGAAGCACGTTCAACAAGGTTACTTTGTCCCAATCACGTGTCTTCTACACAAGTACTAATTTAATGCTTGGGAAGTTGGAATATGTGTTGGTACTTGTGTAGAAGACACGTTCTACGTTGTTAAATGTTTGTTGTTAGAGAGCAGACGTCTATACATATAGATACCGAGATTTAGTAGAATGATGACACATGGAAGTAAAAACCACTTTCCTTGCATGTTTTGAACGTGTTTTCTTTTATTTTATAGAGCAAGTGATAAGTGTCAGAAAGAGAAGAGGAAGACGATTAATGGAGATGATTTGCTATCAGCCCTGGCTACCTTAGGATTTGAGGACTACATTCAGCCACTGAAGGTCTATTTGGCTAGGTACAGAGAGGTAACTGCAATTCTTCGTCATGTCCTCCAGTAATGGTTATGAACTTCACTATTGTAGTTTTCAAGAGTTTGTAATTTGACTGGATATTTTATGCTATAATCGCTGAGTATATGTTATTCTTGTGGTTGCTGAACAACTTCCTCTGGTGGATTACATGGATCAATGATGTTGTTTTAGATGGAGGTATACACAGTTTCTCCACATCATTGAGAGATTTCCTTGTTCTTTTAAATTATGATTTTCATAAAAAATGTACTGTGGGCTTGTAACTGATATCAGGGAGACGCCAAGGGATCTGCTAGGGTTGGAGATGCATCTGTTAGAAAAGATATAGTTGGAAGTCAGCTTGGCTCCAATACGCAGGTAAAGTAGGGGTGATATTTTCTTCTGTTCCTTCTTCGGTTCAGTTAGTTGACTATGTAGTAGTTCTTCTGACCTTGATAGATTAAGTTACTTGGATATTCTTTAATATGACTCCTATTTTTAATGAAAAATGACAGTTTGTCTATGAAGGCTCTTTTGCACAAGGCTTAGACTATGGAAACTCTCAAATATGAATTTTGAGTAAGTTGTTCACTTACCCTAAAACCCTTTCTCTAGTTATGTGCTTTTATCTATAAATATTTTACCATGCAGTTACTCTCTTTTACTAGATTCAACCCCCTCATGTCATGACTTGGTCGGATCACTTTGCTTTATCCTACACTTTTGTTTAATTCATGTAACCAAAATGTTATTGCGTAGTTGCATCCAGTGGATGCGTATTTTACAAATGTAACATGGACTCCTACATAAAACTTAAAGAACAAATTCAAAAAACTGATTAGCATCATTTACGTACAATGAACTTATCAAAAAGAATCATTCACATGACAATGGTTCTTCCAGCTAAATAGATTTACCAGATCATCTGGTCACTCCCTCGAAGCATATCTGGTTCCTTTCTTTCGTTAAAGTCCAAAAAAACAGCTTCAGGTGGAAAGCCTTCTTCTCGATCTCTGCAGTTTGCATAATGCACGCTTGCAGAAATAAGAATAAGAAACAATATAACCCCCTTATATTAATGAAAGAAGAAATAGTGGAAAGTCAAAATGGATTAGTTGCTTCCGGAAGTCCAACGATATGATAAAATCGACCTTCATTTTTGTTTTCTTTTGAGGGGTTTTTGGGTTTGGAGGGGGAAAAGGCAAGTGGCTGGGCATTGGGCAAGCAGGGAAGTTTCAAGCATCGAGAATCTTAAGCTGTTTGCCTATGTTACATGGACTGGTTATACCTACAGCTACTGAACTTTAAAACGAATTCGTGATTTAAGACTATTTACTTTTTCTATCAAAAAAAAAAGAAAAAGAAATCGTGATTTAAGAATGACTATCCAAGGATGGCGACTGGTGAACAAAAAGGAGCTCTATACTATAACTAAAGCTTGGTTCACTAAACCTTGATCTAGCATCACAATTCACATTTTCCATCACTTTCTAGGTATGAACGAATCCGGAGCCCAACTACCAACTCCTTCGAGAATTCCTTTATGAGAACCAAGCCTGGATGCCCCCTTGCGACTCTATTAGATCAATCCAAAATGCAGGAGAAGATGAGGTAGCAGCATTGGATTAGGAAAGTGTCTTAAGATGTCTCCTTGTATGGCAGTTGCATTTAAAATCGGAAGAAATTTCAAACCATGTTTTGGATTCTTTTTATCATCCTAAACCTACAGCTAGTGAAATTTGAAATCAATACCTATGAATTTGCGATCGAAGAATGGCTTCCAAGGATGGTCAATGGTTAATACAAAGGAGCTTAGTACTTCAATTAAAGCTTAGTTCACCAATCCCTGATCTAGCATCACACATTTTCCGTTACATTTTCTAGGTATGAACAAATCCAGAGCCCAACTATGAACTCCTTCGTGAATTCTGTTACGGGAGCAAAGCTGTGATGCCTACAGCTCTATTAGATCGATCCAAGAGGGAGGAGTAGATGAGGTGGCAGCACTGGATTGGAAACATTTCTAAGAGTTCTCATAGTATGGCAATTGCAGTTAATATTGAAAAAAATTTCAAACCATGTTTCTTTTATCATTCAAATTCTCTTGGTAGCTTGATACCATGAAATAAATAGAGGCAGACCTTCAATGATGGGATTTTTGGCTAGAGAAAGGTTATGTGACTTGGATACATATCTCAACTCACTTAGTTGGTTGACCACCTAATCTATGATGAGATTCTCAATCGATATGATCAAATTTAAATGCTTTTATTGCTAATGAGTATGTGCAACTTGCACCCAAAGGTGTGACCTAGTGGTCAATGAAGTGGGTTGAGAATCATAAGGTCTTAGGTTCAAATCCTAGCGTAGGCAAAAACACTAGGTGACTTGTTCCCATCTGTCTAAGCCAAGAGTTACCTGGTACCTGTTGTTGGTGGGAGGTAGAAGGTATTCGAAAGATTTAGTCGAGGAGCGCACAAGCTGGACCGGACACCACAATTATCAAAAAAAAAAAAAAAGAATACATTGCAACTCTTGTTCAACAGCTTCTTGTCTCACCCATTTATGTACGTGGTAGGATGTGGACAAGTATCTGGTACGTGTGTGCAACTTTGAGCAAGTTATTAGTACGTTTAAGGATCCGCATGATGTACCAAAATCCCTTTTTACACCTCTTAGTATCGAGTAAGTTGAGGAAAATGAAGACCCTAGGTAATATAGATATATCTACTAATTGTGGAGCAATGTTCTTCACCCTAATAGACAACCCTCACCAGGACCTTAATTTGTCAAAACACCTCTTCTTCTGACATCCTTGAATAACTCCTATTGTTGCTATTATCCTTTGAAATATACTGGATTTTAAGAGATGAAGGTGAAACAAAGGAGTGAGTTGAACGTAAATACTGGTCCTTAATTCATCTTGGTAAGAAAAGTGCCCACTTTTAGCAAAAAGCACTATCCCTTTAAGTTCTTTTCTTTGTTTTGCATTAAATTCATAGGTTTGGTTTTACATGATTGTTGAAGGATAGGTGGAAAATTCTGCTCAGATAAGTAAAGATGGGTTATATTCAATTTTAAAGAACTGTAATATTTACCACAGTTACCTTTTCAAGTGGACCTTGTTATAGAATATAATTAAAAGTATATGGAGACATTCAATTTGAGACGGAGAAAGTAAGTAGTAATCAAGTTTGTAAAAGTTCTTTCATTTGATTCAGGGGGATGATGCAGGAATTAAGAATAAGATACTTAACCGTGGGGTGACAGATTTTGAGCTTTGATACTTGTGTTATGTGTGCTTTTTGTGGATACATAACCCAAAAATTGGAAGCCTAATTCTAACTAACAATAAAAACGCTCTAATTTTTGTTTAATGGAAATTTGTTCAAGTTGATGTATAAATGCCAAGTTACTTTCAAACTAACTTCTTGTTGAACAGTTGAGAAGATTTGAGAGTGATTTAATAGCTTTGTGGACCTTTATTGCTAGAACTCCAGTGTCGTTCCAATCTAACAGATGTCTCTGAAGGGACTTGCTAGAACTCCAGTAGAAATTACGGAGTAGAAAATCTGACAACACGGAGCTTTAATGATTGAATGTGTAGTAACCGTGATGATTAAGTAATTGAGCAAATTGATATTGATATAAATACTCCCAATTTTGGAAAATGGGCTATATTGAGTCATTCTGATTAGTTAAGCTTTCTAGCATAATCTAGGGAAAGTGACATTTCTCTTACAGTGTCAATTGGCATATATGCTCTGAAGTTTGACATAATCCCTTTTTGTGATTTTACAGAACAGTGATTAGTCGTTTGCTGGTACAGATGCCGAGTATCTTCCGGCTTCTCATCTTGCTGATCTTTGTATTAAGCTATTCAATAGCAACGTTGATGCTTGTTTGAGAGAACAAGAAACATAAAGGACTCCTACTAATTTCTGGATCAACTTTTTGCAAATATTTTTTGCTATACTTCTATTTAAATTCTCTTCCGCTCTGTACATACTGCTTGGTTTTGAATTTTCACTGAGAACAAACCTTCTATTGTAGTTTGTACAGCATCTAAGTGTCCAAACATTTGGATCTGTTTTATTCGTCCATTTCTGTTATTGATCATTGTTTTCTCCAAAAAATAAAAATAAAAAAATCATTGGCTCTTTTTGCATTGATTTAGAAGGAACTTAATGACACTACTACCCTTGGATAACTGTAGATAGAGCAGCATTTTATGGATTTCGATTCCATCTTGTAATTTGTAAACTAAAAAAGCCTTGCTTTTTTTTTCTCTTTTCGTTTGTTTTGCATATACTCCGTCAGTGCACTTGTGTCTTGACGGAGTAATACAAGGACTTGATTCGCCGTCTTGACAATCTTTTTTCCTTAATGTAATCCCAACACGTAGCTAGGCCAGAATCCGGAGAAGGGTTCAATCACCCCGATTTTCTCCTGCCAGAGTTGAACTCTGCGCTTAGGCCAGAAACCTCCAAGACTACTGGAATAGGTAGCAGAGTGAGGGAACAAGTTATATTTAGGATTGTAACATGAGGATTATTATATCAGAATTTTATAATACTAAAATATTTAGTAAATATACTTTTATTATTAGATGCTTGAAAATTAACATGTGGCAAATAAGGATTAGTGCGTGTTAAGCACGTCTGGGTTGGTCGAGAAAGGATACTACTTAGAAGTTGTTCACGGAAGTACTAGGACTCCCTTCCTATTCATCCTAGCTGTTAGCCCCTAATATTGAGACATGACGGATGTCGGGCAGAATCTATGTCAAGGGCTTGTACATTGCCCCTTGGCACATGTTTGTAAGGGTGTTGGCAAGCAATGTGCGCAGCTGGAAGTATGTCTAAGTTAGTGCATGGACTTAGGCAAATCAGTTAGGCAAGGTGTCTTGGGTGATGGCAAGGCAACCTTGATTGTGGGCAACGGCTATGGCAAATGAAGGCGCATGGCACTTGACTAAGGCATGCGTGCGGATCAGTGGGACGACAAAGTTTGTGACAAGACATTGTCATGAGCTTATGGGCGAGGCATGGTCCAAAGATAAGGCAAGGCAGGAAGGCAAAGTGTGGGCAAAAGCTGTGGAACAAGTGTGCAAGTCATGTGACTGTGAAGTAGTGTGTTGTGCATGTGCTGTGGAAGTATAGCCATGTGCAATGCACATGTTGCAGTTGGCCAAGGTGCTGAAGAGGGATTCATTTCGTGGGAATATTTGAATTCAAATTATGACTAAGTAGTTATGCTTGTTTTTAGGCTTAGCATGTGCAATGCACATTGTATAACTGCCCCGTGTAACTGCCCTTGTAAATCTGCCATAGGCAACCGCTTTTATATGTTGTATTTTGTTAGCAAAGGCAAGTAAGATATGTGAGCCTTCCAACTGAGTTTCCTTTATACATTCTACAAGAATTGAATAAAGGTTGGGTTTTACCCGTATTATTGTGTGGTGCTTACGTTTTGCTAAGTCTGAAATAATCTAAGTCCTAAACTGTGTGCGAAAAAAGTAAGGCTGAGTGGCTGAGAGTTTGGCTACTGCCGTGCAGTGTCAATTGTGCTAAAATTGGCCCTGTAACAACTGGTATCAGAGCTTTGCTCGTGAATTGGGATCATGGCTGGTGGATCCACTTCAGACTTGCGTGATTATGTGCAAAGGTTGGAGGCGCTGATTGGTGTGACTGATGATCCTTTGGATCTGGCTGAACTAATTACTGAGATCTACCGTCTAAAGGATGGAATGGATCAGTTTCGTAAAGGTATTCAAAAAACGTGTGAGGCCACGAATGTTCAAGTTGTGGATCTGAAGAAGGAAATCGAAACTCTGAACTTGGAAATTATTGTTCTTCGAAGGGCGTTAGCTGCTCTTGGCCAAGGCAATGAAGAACGTTCAAAAGTAAAGATCCCTGATCCGAAGGCGTTTGGTGGAGCGCGTAGTGCTAAATAACTGGAAAACTTTCTATGGGATATGGAACAATATTTTGTTGCTGCCAAAGTTCTAGACGGGGAGAAAATCATAATTACAAGCATGTACCTAATGGGAGATGCTAAATTTTGGTGGAGAACTCGCATGGCTGATGACGAAAGTGCGGCCAGACCCAAGATCGGTACTTGGGAGAAACTTCGAAAAGAAATGAAGGACCAGTTCTTGCCTAGCAACGCATTTTGGCTTGCTAGGGATCCCTTGAAACGCCTACAGTAAACCGGAAAAGTTCGTGACTACATTAAGGAATTTACTTCCTTGATGCTGGATATTCAAAACATGTCGGAGGATGACAAATTGCATAATTTTATTTTTGGAATACAAGCATGGGCGCAGAACGAACTTAGGAGATAGAACGTGAAGGATCTCCCGAGTGTGATTGCTGCAGCGGATTCTTTGGTGGATTACCGCAGTACCCGGAGTCTTTCTGAAATTACCTCTACTTCAAAACCTAAGAAAAAGGTGGAGAAGAAAGGGGAATGAAGGAAGGAAGTTCGAAAAGAAGTCGTGGAAAAGGGCGAGGCTGCTGTTGATGGACCTGCTAGAAACAAAGGCATCGCAAACAAAAAGAGCGATGGTTGCTGGACTTGCGGCGGACCTCACATTGCCAAAAACTGTCCGAATCGAGAACGGGTTAATGCTTTGCTTGCTACTAAAAATAATCGGGAAGGAGAAGGAAGAGAAGTTGTTGGCGCATTGGTAAATCCTTTGCAATTGCTGAATGTTATCTCGTTGGCTAATACTACAAGCAACGAGACGAACCCTCATTCCTTGCTGATGCACATCGAAATGAAAATTGGAAAAAAGGGTGTGATAGCTATGGTGGATACTGGTGCTACTCACACCTTTGTCTCGGCCAATTTGGTGCATAAGTACGAATTGAGTGTGAGCAAATGTGAATGCCAAAGCACAAGCCATTGTGGGTATGGCTTATAACATTCCTATGTCTGTTGGGAACTGGAAGGGGAAAGTTAATTTGATGGTGATTCCACTAGAAGATTTTGAGGTGATCCTTGGAATTGACTTTATGCGGAAAAATCGCTTTGTTCCAATGCCTCACTTGGACGAAGTGATGATCATGAATGAAACGGCTCCTGGTTTTGTGAAGGTTGTTCATCCTTATGGGAAATAAAAAACTCAATGGAGGGCTTCATTAGTTTCTTCCATGATGGTCGAAAAAGGTTTGAAAAGGGGAGATGATACTTTCCTTTCTGCTATGGTTGAGGTGAAGCCTGATTTGAAGGTTGAAGTGCGGGATTGCGTCGCTTAAATATTGAGTGACTTTGCTGATGTGATGTCGCTAGAATTGCCTAAAAATTTGCCACCACGGAAGGTTATTGATCACAAGATAGAGTTGCTACCGGGTTCAATGCCTCCTGCTCAACCTCCTTATCGGATGGCACCAAAAGACCTGGCTGAATTGCGGAAACAATTGAATGAGTTGATCGATGCGGGACTGATTCAGCCATCAAAAGCTCCGTTTGGTGCACCTGTTTTATTTCAAAAGATACAGGATGGGACGCTTCAGATGTATGTTGATTATCGGGCGTGACTGTAAAGAACAAATATCCTGTTCCGTTGGTGCAAGATTTGATGGACAGATTGAGCAAGGCTTGCTGGTTCACGAAGCTTGATTTAAGTTCTGGTTATTGGCAGGTACGGATAACTGAAAGTGACGAGGCTAAAACTACATGTGTTACGAGGTATGGCTTATATGAATTTCTTGTTATGCCGTTCGGGTTGACAAATGCCCCTGCTACTTTTTGCAACCTGATGAATGATGTGTTGTATGAGTATTTGGATGATTTTGTCGTTGTCTACTTAGACGACATTGTTATCTATAGTCAGACCTTGGATGAACATATGTCACACTTGATTAAGGTGCTTTCTCGTTTGAGGGAGTACCAAATGTACGTGAAGATGGAAAAGTGTGAGTTTGCTAGACAGGAGATCAAATTTTTTGGGCACTTGGTGAGCCAAAATCAAGTGCGGATGGACCCGAAAAAGGTGCAGGTCATTGTGGAGTGGAAGGCGCCTAATTCTGTGAAAGAATTGAGATCTTTCCTTGGGTTAGCTAATTATTATCGGAAATTCATTGCTGGCTATTCAAAGAAGGCTGCTCCTTTGACAGATTTGTTGAAAAAGAATGTTAGGTGGGCATGGTTTGAAAAATGCAATGCTGCGTTTGATGTGCTGAAAGAAGCTATTGCCTCAGAACCTATCTTGCGGCTTCCTGATTTTGAACTGCCCTTTGAAGTTCATACTGATGCTTCCGACAAGGCTGTTGGATGTGTACTGGTTCAAGAAGGCCATCCAGTGGCATTTGAAAGCAGAAAACTGAATGAAGCGGAGCAAAGGTATTCAGCTCATGAGAAAGAAATGGTTGCTGTTATCCATTGCTTGCAGATTTGGCGTGTCTATTTGCTGGGAACAGAATTCGTCGTGAGGATGGATAACATGGCTAATACATTTTTCAAACCACAGAAAAAGCTAAGTCCAAAGCAAGCACGTTGGCAGGAATTTTTAGCAGAATATGATTTTGTGTGGGAGCACAAGCTGGGAAGACACAACCAAGTTACGGATGCATTGAGTCGGAAAGAGGTGTTTGCTGCTGTTTATTCCATTACATGACTTTTTGAGTCTGATTTTCTTGATAAAATCAAGTCGGCTGCTGCAAATGATCCATTGTACATAAAAACAATGAATCATGTGAGAGACGGGACAGTGAAGAGGTACTGGATCGAGGACGATCTTCTCTATTTCAAGGGGGGGGGGGTTATGGTACCACTTGGTGATGGGTTGCGTCGCGAACTGTTGAAGGAGACGCATGATACACTTTGGGATGGTCATCGAGGAATTGAAAGGATGATGGCTCTACTGTCTCGATATTATTGTTGGCCAAAGATGGAGCATGATGTAGAAGCTTATGTGAAGAGCTGCCTTGTGTATCAACTTGACAAAATCGAGCGAAAGAAGGAGGCGGGTTTGCTACAACCTCGGCCTATTCCAGAAGAAACGTGGCAATCTGTTTCTATGGATTTTATCAGCGGATTCCCTAAGGTTAATGGGTTGTCTTCAATCATGGTTGTGGTTCACAGGTTTTCAAAGTATGTTGTTTTTATTGCTGCCCCATCTGAATGTCCCTCAAAGGTTGCTGCTGAGTTATTCTTCAAGGACGTGGTTAAGTATTTCGGAATGCCAAAGGATGTGATTAGTGACAGGGATGCATAGTTTACAGGCTGGTTCTGGACTTATTTTTTCAATCTCATGGGTACAACTTGAAGTTTTTGATGGCAAACCATCCCCAAACTGATGGCCAAACCGAAAGAATCAATCATTTGCTGGAAGAATACTTGAGGCATTTCGTGACTGCTAGTCAGCGAAACTAGACAGATTTATTAGACTGTGCACAATTCTCTTATAATTTGCACAAGTCTTCAGCAACGGAGAAGAGTCCATTCGAGATTGTTTTGGGGAAGCAGCCTAAACTACCAACAGCGATTGCACAACTAAACACTGGAGGTAAATGTCCAGCTACCTATCGCTATGGTTGGGATTGCCAAGTCATGATGGAAGAAGCAACAGATAGTTTGAACATGGCACAAAAACGAATGAAGAAATATGCTGACCAGAACAGGCGTCCATTGGAGTTCAAAGTAGGCGACAAAGTGCTGTTGAAGCTTACTCCTCAAATTTGGAAGAAGATTGATAGCCGGGTAAGGCATAGAGCTAACGAAATGGTCCATTTGAAGTTATCGAAAAGGTGGATGAAGTTGCTTACCGATTGAAGCTGCTGGAAATAATGAAGATACATCCAACTTTCCATGTGAGTTTTTTGAGGCCTTATGTTGAAGATCCTGAAGATCCGGACAGGCACAATAAAGAGAGCTCATCCTCAGGTGGCACTCAGCTTGAGGAAGAAATTGAAAAGATTCTGGACCACCGGGTTCTAGGGATGCACAAGAATAATAAGCGGACATAATTTTTTATTCAGTGGAAACGGAAGCCCGAGGCAGATGCAACTTGGGAAAAGGGTGCGTCTTTGTGGCAATTAGAACATCAAATAGAGGACTACTTGAATCAGCCTCGACGAGGGCGTCGAGTTCAACTAGTGGGGTTGGTTTGTTATCCCCTAATATTGAGACATGACGGACGTCGGGTAGAATCTATGTCAAGGGCTTGTACATTGGCATAGGTTTGTGCGGGTGTTGACAAGCAATGTGCGAAGCTGGAAGTATGTCTAAGTTAGTGCATGGACTTAGGCAAATCAACTAGGCAAGGTGTGTTGGGTGATGGTAAGGCAGCCTTGATTGTGGGCAACGACTATGGAAAATAACTAAGGCATGCGTGCGGATCAGTGGGACGACAAAGTTTGTGACAAGACATTGTCATGATCTTATGGGCGAGGCATGGTCCAAAGACAAGGCAAGGCAGGAAGCCAAAGTGTGGGCAAAAGCTGCGGAACAAGAGTGCAAGTCATGTGACTGTGAAGTAGTGTGTTGTGCATAGCCATGTGCAATGCACATGTTACAGTTGGCCAAAGTGCTGAAGAGGGATTCATTTCGTGGGAAAGTTTGAAATCAAATTATGACTAAGTAGTTATGCTTGTTTTTAGCTTAGCATGTGCAAGGCACATTGTATAACTGCCCCGTGTAACTGCCCTTGTAAAACTGCCATATGCAGCCCCTTTTTTATGGTGTATTTCGTTGGCTAAGGCAAGTAAGATATGTGAGCCTTCCAACTGAGTTTCCTTTGTACATTCTGCGAGAATTGAATAAAGGTTGGGTTTTACCCGTATTACTATGTGTTGCTTACGTTTTGCTAAGTCTGAAATAATCTAAGACCTAAACTGTGTGCGAAATAAGTAAGGCTGAGTGGCTGAGAATTTGGCTACTGCCGTGCAGTGTCAATTGTGCTAAAATTGGCCCTGTAACACTAGCCATGGTGAATCTTTGCAAGATGTTCGACAAAGCCACACAGATGCAGTGGATATCAATTTTTTCTAGTTTTGATAAATAAATTGTGTTTGGTTAATCATTTCGACTAATACTTGTGAATATTAAATTATAAAAATGTCTTAAAATTCTAATTGCCAAAAGACTTGTGACAGACTATATTTGCCCGGTATATATTAAGAATATGATCATTATCATTATATACTTAAAAATATGTAAATTGGGTTGTTGTTTTGCCCTAGTATATATGGGCTAGAGTCTAGCGCAATTACATGAAATTACACTGGATAAACCTCTTTAGAACCATCATTTACATTTTAACCCCATCAAGAAAATTTTGGTTAAATAGTTCACTGCCGGAATATTTAAGTCGCTGCCTAAATTTCAAAGCATTCTGACAGAATTTTTCGAATTTTCTCGTATAGAAAATTCTGACGATTATCATGTTGTGTGGCAAATACAAGTAATCACCATATGAAAATTTCTAGCGGTTGCTATGGTTTTACAATTCCTAGTAACCACCATTTGAAAATTTCTTGGGATTATCATGTTTTTTCCAAAATTTCTGGCGATTGCCACGAGCTTCTTCAAATTCTGTTGGAGGCTATTTTTCCAAGACTTTTTTCAAAAAATCAGTAGTGGCACGAAGTATGCTATCTTTGTCATTCATCTGTGCAATTAAGTATTATACTACACAAACTTTATTCTTTTTGGAATTTTTATAGAGAAATTTACACCATGTAGTTACAAGGAAGTAAATAATTAAGATAAAAGTTGGCCCTACTTTATTCAAACTATCTGGTTTGGACTCTCGAAACAATTTAATATCAACTTATATCCGAACTTTAAATCACATTCTTTCTCTCCTCTTTCAGCCACCTCTCACTTAGGGTGTGTTTTGTATAATGGAAAACGTTTTCCGTGGAGAATGTTTTCCAAGAAAATGCTTTTTTAGAAAACAAGTAGCAATCTTATTCATTTTTCGCTGTTTGGTATGCAAATTAAGGAAAATAACTTCTCAAGAGTACTCATAAATAATTTAGATACAATAAACATGAAGCCATACACTTTCGAACCAACAACCTTCCGAATCCACAAAATTCATAAACTTTCGAACCGCTAAATTCGAAACCGCAAACTTTCGAACCTGTAAACTTTATAATTTTTAAACCCGTAAACTTACAAACACATAAACCTCCGAACTCATAATTTTGAAATTTGTAAAATTTCGAACCTGTAAACCGATAGATGAAAAAAACTAAAACTGAAAAATATATAAAAAAATATATTTTTTTCGGGGAGGAAGGGG